GCCTGGTTCTGCTGGAGGTTTCTTCCTGTTAAAAGGGAGTTTTTCCTTCCCACTGCTGCCAAATGCTTGCCTCATTGTTGGGGTTTTCCCTCTGTTATTGTAGGGTCTCAACTTTACAACATAAAGCTTCTTGAGTCAAAGAATATAGTCCCTCAACTTTTTCTAGCCACAAACATAGCCCATATTTACCAGCTCATGGTGGCAACAATCAGGTCATAAAACTACAACAGGAAGCAAAACATTTATGGTTTATGACACTACAGTGCTCAGTCAGTCAGTTGATGTAAACTGTTGATCTCAATTTTACAATCTAGGCACCACTGGAAGCTCATATGCAAGAACACTGAGCTCTGAGATTGTCTGCCACTTACTAAAATAAGTTTGGTCGGCTTTCCTTTGAAAATCTCATGTCGCAGGCTTGTGCATTCAACTGTTTATCAAAGAATCTGATAATATATATAATGATAGTAATGCAGTCAAAAATTACATGTTAGTATTGATGATTTAATGAAGACAGTTTTGTATCAAAGCAGCCCTTATTCTAGGATTATGAGCGATACATTAGTCACTGCTCATCCAGTCTGACATGAGTACAGTAATCCATTATGATGCATACTCATGCTTGAGGCAGGTCTTCATCTACACCACAGATGGAGCTGATCAGAAAAAAAAACCACTTCTTTCTGGCAAGAACAAGACAAGAAGAAATTTAAGCAGGGAACAAAATTTTCTGAAGAAGGTGTCTTCTTATTTCACCGTTGCAGCAGTACCCCCACTGTGTGTCCTGACTGCACGAGATGCTAATATATCATAGAAACACCTATAAAGTCGTGGCATGCTTTCACATTATTGCCTACAAAAACTCAGGTGTCCACGTCTACTCAGTTTGTCTAACAAGAATGACATCAAAGTGCACCGTGAGCCAGCAGTCGCTTGTGGCACAGCCCACCGTTTCCAAGAACAACCGTGAGCACCAACCGGTGTCAGGAGTGTGAATCACCTAACATTTTCAGTGCTTCTCCTGCCATAGGGTTAGGGTTAGCCTAACTCTAACATACCATACATATACCATGTGATTCCTGTGCTGAGGTACAATTGATCAAATCGCACCACCACTTGCGCTCATGCTCACAGTTAACCTTAGCCCACCTATTGTAAACAGCTGTGCATCAGGACCTCTAAATTCTTTATCATTTATTGAGCCATACTGTATATTTATTCTGGTGCAGTCCTAGCGAGGAGACTCAAACCATTAAACATAGGTACTTTTCTGGTTTTCACTCACCATGGCTGAAAAAACCTGAAAGCAGAAGCTGACCCGCAGCAGCAGTAAGCACTGCTGCTGCTTCAATAGCTTTGCTGAGGAATCATTTTGAATGCATCATTATCAAGCTCAAAACATACACACTCTACTGTAGCACTTACTGCTCTGAGTATATCAAACCTCCCACACGGAAGACAGCAGCTCCTTACTTACATTAAACAAGCCTAGCATGTTCTGTGCCCAGACTCACAAATGACAAAATCCAGCTGGAGGCCATCAGTGGTGAAAATACAAACAACCTTAATTCTATGTATGCACAGTAATGTATAGTTGATAGATTTGTGTGGCAATATGAGTCTTGAATATTTAATGCCAGCATGCCAGAAATACCAAGTGCTGGATACGCTCTTGATCTCAGGTAACTTGTCAGCAGCATGATGTGTATTTATCCAGCTACAAACATTAGTTTTGTCTTACACAAACAAGCCGTCAGAGAAATGCAGAGCTTCTCTCAATGTCAAAAAATGAAGAGGAAATGCCAAACTAGAGAAGTTGCATCCTCCAACCTGTGGATCCTCGATACGTTTGAGGTATCACATCCCACCAAATGCCAAATGCAAAACAGTTAGAAAAGTTGAAGAGGGAAAAATGTCAGTGGTATGTAAGACCATCCCAGTTTTTAGGGTTGTCTCATTGTTGTTGTTAATGTCATTAACACCAAAGCAGCTGAAACTGTTAAAGAGCACCCTCTGCTACCAAACTGACCCGATCAATATCCCAGAAGTTTGATTGACTTGGTCAAGTGTTTCCTTCATTTTTTCAAGTTGAGTATTACTGTTATATTATAAGGCTTTTTGTAATTCAAGGCATGATTTTCGGAAACACAAAATTATAATTAAAAGATCAGAAGAATTTTTAATCACACGTGCAAATGGGTCAGTACAGTCAATGGAGTGAGCAGCTGAAATGGGCTGGAACAATCCACAACAAAATCCCAACACTGTCAGTTAACAAGTAATTAAATGTGATAGACAGTTTAATACTTAATGATAGCAAGCAAGTTCATTCTCCGTCAGCTGCAGGCTGGCACGGTTTCCAGCTGATGCCATGAAGTTACTCATCAAGCCTGAAAGTGATGTCACCCTACTGCACAATCTGCACACACACACCCTTTCCTTCGTCTCATCCCCATCAGGTGGGGAAGGGCAGCGAGCATAAACTGAATTACTTTTTCTTCAGTGGCAAAAAAAACCCCTCAGCAAATATCATCAAACACACAAGATGTTTCTGTGCGACTTGGCCAACTGCCTCACTAGCCTAAAGGTGCAGTAGCAGTATTTAAGGGGAAAAAAATACGTGTGATAACTTCACTCTCAGAGATGGAGAAAGATGTGAGAAACTGCAGACAGTAGAGGAAGGTGAGAGATGACTTTTAAAGGTACAGACTGCTCAGCAAGTGATATTTGATAAACTGGAAACCTAAAGCTTACATGTACTTACTCTTTGTATTTCTTTTAAAGTCGGGCAAAATCGTGATCTGTACTATTTCACCTAATTCAAATGGGACATAAAATGAATAATAAGGACACTGGTTTGCTGTGGTGTCCAGTCATCATAATTTGGATTAAATGTAGGAGAGTAACAAGTCGTCACTTTGAACTGTGGATGCTCTTTGGAAAAACTGCAGATTTCCACCTTTAAACTAGCTTGCAAGGTTGGGAAGCTGCTAGGACGGATGCAACATCTGCTTATATATTGTAGACTGGAACCTCAGAGCCAGCAGCCACACGGGTCAGCTGATCCAGCCCGTCCGCGAAAAAAACAAATTAAAATAGTTCATAACACAAAGTACTGTGTGACCTATTTCTAAATGAGTCTTTTCCCTGTGCTACACACCTACCCAATAACTTCAGATTCCCTCATCTTCCAAATCCCATTTTAATCCCTGAATACAGTATATTAAAATAACAGCTAGCCAACAGTACAGCATGTAATGACTATGTTGTGATATTTTAATGTCTGTGAATCTTTGGGGAGGGTTTGTATTTATGTTTTTGCTTTGTTGCAACTTCATTTCCACTGAGGAAACTATTTTTATTAAAAGGATTTGTCTAGATAAGACTTAAAAATTTATGTGTTACCACAATTATTATTCTAATAATAATAATTATTGTTGTTATTATTTTGTTTTTCCACTGTTTTTTGGAGAAGCTGTCTGCAGGGGAGATACAAACATTACTTTTTATTGCACAAAAGGCAACGAGTGTGATGGTGAAAAGCAAAGTATATCCAGGCTATATGTGCATTATAGTGATAACAGCACAGACAGCATGTTAACACAAAGTTAGCCATGAACCCAGAGAGATGTTAAACCTAACAACCAACAGGTAACACAAAGCAGTAGGCTGCAGCCTCCGTTTCTACCTGTTTAATTTCTAAAGTAGATTCGCCCCAATGATCACTTTAAAGTCTCTTTATGCTGGTTTTCAACTTTGCTCTGTGCTGTCGGCTTTGTATAAAATGGGATTTGTGTTACTGTATGGAACTGTTGGGTAATTATGAGACAATGTGTTTTGTAATGAGAAAGTAATGTAACTAGCAGTGTAACAAATTACTTTCTCCGGCATGTAATCAGTGATTTTGCAAAGTAGTTTCTTTTATTTATGATTCATAACCTTAACCTACAGGTCGTGTTTGCTGTGCATGAATGGATATAAATGGCCTGAGCTCCCCCCAAAAAGTTCAAATGAATTCACACCATCTGTGTTTTCATTGACAATCATGTAATCATAGTGTATGTAGCCTGACTACAGCGCCACAAAGCTGAACTCCTACTCTACATCTACTCTGCCAAGTGTTTGTTCTGCAGGAGCAGCGAGGAAAGAAAATCTCTCTCATCAAATTATGAGTGAATATTTCCTGCATATTGAACCAATTAAATGAAACACTACAGGCTGAGTTTATGTAATCTAGATGTTAGAACATGGACCTGTCAGGATGGAGGAGACTCACTTCTCACGCTGGTATCACGCCGAAGGAGTGATTTCACTCAAAGCTCTAATCCAATTCTTCCAGCTCTTTTCTCAGGACTTGAAAGACAATCCATCTGTTCCTCCTGGCCGCCGTTCAATCACACCGCCTTCTGTTGTGTGGGCCGGAGGTGAGTTAAATGTTTCTAGCACTTCGCTGACAGCCGAGGGAGTCAGGGACACGGTGGCATCTCTCTGCTATAAAGATCGCGGCTGGAGTCCTAATTCATCACCCCAGGCATCATCATGTGGCATTACAATATGCTAATGCGGCGACGCCGTGCCCTCGCTCTCACCTCGTTCTCTCTTTCATCTTTTTCTCTCCTCCCTGTCTCCCTGGGGGCTGAGCCACCTCCACCCCAAATCCCACTCTGCAATACGCACCTTGCTGCCAGTATGTGCAGGGGGCTTAAGAGTGATGTCAAAGCCAATGTTGGAATTAGGTGAGTGCTGTGTGTAGTTGTCTGACTGCAAATGACGAACATGTAATTAGCCTTTCGTGTCAGAGTTACAACTGGATCGCGTTTAATAAGAACAGGCTTCCCCACCAACTGGAAAATCACCTCACATGCTTTCAAATGGGAAAAAATAGAAATAACTTGCAAACAGGTATTTTTGGGGTTTAAATTTATGGACTTGGGATTAAGCGCAGACGCAGTACAAAACGACTGCCCTGCAAACATGCCGGTATCAGATGTCATTCTTACCCCATGTGATGGATATGTTAGCCAGCCCCAGTCTCCTGAGATTGTAGTCGTGTCCAGTAGATTCACTGCAAAAGAGAGAGAAGAGAACAACACACCGGAGGAGGTAAGTGGTGAACTTTAAATGATTGTTTTTCCTCATCCTGCCCCATCCATCCTGTCCTTCATAACTATCCTCTGTGTGCACTGGCACCCGACAGAGCACCCCACATACACACATACACCTGTCTGACAGGTGTGACTGATGAGCCGGGACGGTCGTCACGGCAACTCTAAGCCAGGTGTCACATCCGTGATGTCACCTTGACCTGTTTCACCCATCACGGCGCCTCAGAACCTCAGTGGTATGAGCTCAGAATAGAACAGGACACGAAACACTGCTTTTCAGAGTGGAATAGAAACACTGCATTAACTTGTTTGTTTATATGGGTGAAAACCACCAATCAGAATGCTCCATTTTCATATGTGTTTTAAGTCAGGAAAGAAGTGGCATGTAAAAGGCAAGTACCAAACACCAGCATGTAACACATGGGACGGACATACAGAAGGTTAACAAGAGTGCAAAACAGTTTGACAAAACATTACGGCAAAGTGTCACTCCAAGCAGGCGGCGACCAATCAGACACTGTTTGCCTGTCTCTATTTTTCATGGTACTTTTGTTTATTGCTTGTTGGCTGGAAGTTTCAAGGGCAGCACAGTGGTGCAGTGTGAACATGCCTCACAGCAAGGCTGTGGTTTCAGACCTTTCTGGGGCCTTTCTGTGTGGGTTTCCTCCCACAGTCCAGACATGTACATGCTAGGCTGACTGGTGCTTCAGTATTGGCCGTAGGTAAGGATGTAGGGTGCGTGAATTTGGCTTACAGCGCAAACCACTTTTGTTTGGTCAGTAAAAGTAAAAATACCAGTCCAGTACTGCAGTATTATTTGGGCATTTAAGTGCAGATTTGTTCTGTTTGAAGCCAATTATGTCAGACTGACTAACACTTAACTTATCTTTAGCTTTGTTACAGCAAAAAAACTGAAATGAGAAGTTTTTTTTCTCTTACCTGGTAGTTAAGCATTTGGTGCATGTGTTTTTTCCCTGTTTGTTTGCTTGTTTGTTTAATTGTTTTTGGTTTTTAAATGAGCCCAACCTGAAATAGCTAACACATAGCTGAACTCTTTTTTACCATCATAAGTGTTGTTCAAATGACTGTAACTCCATTATGCTCATTGTTTTAGAAAGTTGAGAAGACGAGCTGTACGGGATATTCGGTGTGTCACAGTAACACAAAGCATTCACAAAGTACTGCTGTCTGAACACGGGCAGCATAATCAGCTCCACCTTGCTTTTGGCAAATGGCAAACCACGTTCCCATAACTCCTCGATCATTTTGGGCTAGAGAGAAAATTCAAATAGGAAGCCCGAGCTAAATGTTAAAATAAAAGTAAAAAAAAAAAGGTTTTAGAGAAAGTCGTGTCACAGAAATAGCAGCAATTTTATAAATATTTAATATAAACATAATTTAATAACTATAATTATATAATAATTCAATTTGGTAGCACTATATAATACAGCCCAGGACCAACCCAGTAAGCTTGTTTGGTCATCAAGCTTTTAAAAAGTGCAAACAGCTAACTTATGACATTTTAGAATTTGAAAATAAAAACCTCCATTTACTGTGAATGACCTGTAGCAGCATCTTCATGGAGACCCACGCGCTTGAGTCATGTTCACTTCAAATGGAAGTTAAAGTATTTTCAGCTCACACAGACTTGTCCTTCTTCCTATAATTTCTGTATGTTTTGTGTCTTTATCCGATACAGCTGCATCTAAAATTCACTCCACATTCGATCAAAACACATCTGAGTGACAGGACTTTACAAGATGGGATGGACAGCTGAGGAAAAATCGCATCTTGGTGAACTATTAATTCTACACAGCAGCAGTGTCCATACAGTCTGCTCAAGCAGGTATGTGTGTGTATGTGCGTGTATCTCACCCCTCCAGCACTTCCAGCTAATATGATCTCTGCCCCAAGGCTGCTTGTCAAGCAGCCAAGTGCTGTTCCCCATATTAGAATGAGTTTAACAAAACACTTCACACTTCTTAGCTTTCGGTCTCTCATCTTCATCTCTCTGCTTGACACTTGCTCTCTTCCTGTCTCTCTTGCTACCGTATGCAACCGTTTTCCCTCAAAGCAGCAAGCGAACTGCCAAGGCCTGGCCTCCTCCCCCTCAGCTGGCTGAGTTCATGCTTTTTACTCATACGGATAATTTTTCAGAAAACAACCGTGAGGTGATCTCTGTGGTTTCCTTGGAAAATGCTTCAAAGTGAAAGTTCAGAAATGATGACACTGACTGTTCAGAAGTTGCGCTTTTGTGCATTTGCATGTTTTGTAGATGGCAGTCTGCCGGCAAAAAGGAAATGATGACATTTACATATCTTCCTCTGTGATAGTTCATGAGTAACTATGATGTCTGAAAACTAGAAAAGCACCACAGAGAGACATTTCATGCACAGGAAGAGATGCGCAGACATTGATTGACGATAAGTGACAGGAAAAAAGCTGATGCGCGTAATGAGCACTTAAAGCGTCTTACACAGGTGTTTTCTCTTCTGCCTGATTAGATGTCCTCTCAGAACTGTGCGAGCACTTTGTGCTTGACTGACGTCTGGCTTTCTCCATAACTTTAACAACAAACACTCCTACATATCTTTTCATAATACTGCAATAAATATGCAGTATATATAATATACAGTAAAAAAAAGACTATGGAAATTTCTTTCAAATTCAGCAGACACAAAAGAAAAAAGCCAAGATTAGTCCAGTATCAGCTCTAACACTAACGTCAACACTGTCTGAGGAAAACTGTATCTGAAGCATCCTGCTGCGTTTTTTGTATTTATCAGAGTTTGTTCACTGAAACAGTTGCTTGTCGCTGCTGGAAACACGGCTGATGAGAGAGCAGAGACTGGTTCACATAGTAAATGTGGCATGGAACAAAAATAAGGGTGAAAACAAAGAGTGAAGTATCTATTGTGTCTGCAGAAGTGCCTGTAATCATTAAAGTGCCTCTGTTAGCCTTTATATAGTAATATCCCTTTTTTTGTTTCACCCACCGGTTAGTTTGATATAGCCACAAAGAATATTTGGTTAGGTTAACAAAAAAACACACTCTTTTACAGCGTTGAACATCTTAGAAGGCTCCATCTTCTAGCACGAAAGAAAATCTTTTCCCTCCACATCTAAAGGTGTCAGCACATTTATTACAATAAGAGCTTATGTGGTCTTTTTTTTGAATACAGTCCTATCGGAGGTTGCCCAGTGACTACACTGAGCTTTTCTGGTTAGTGTTAGACAGCAACTGATTTTTAAATATTTACGGCAGTTAGTCACAATATTATCACAGATTACATGTAACTCCTGACTTGACACTACAAAGTACAAATACTTTGTTACCGTACCAGAATGTTCAGGTTTCTGTACTTTTACTTTTACGCCCTACTTTTTTAAACAGATATCTGTACTTTCGACTTCTTATATTTTCAGAGCAGGCTCGTTACTTTTGCTTTAACAGATTTTGAGGGGAGTTACTATTTGACGTCCCTGCAAGCCTTCAAACATTAAAACAAATATGAGAGTGAACAGTGACACATGAAAGGCAGTCCTGTTTCAGTATTAATCACCAAGTAAAAAGAGATGAAAGAAGCAAAATTGTTTACCAAATTCAGGGGTTAAAGTGGCTCGGTGTTTTTAATTACCAACTCCAGGTCTCCGTAAGTTATTCTTGCAGTACTTAAGCAACTAGCAAGCCCTACTGGAGAGGAGCGCACATAAAGAGAATTTATTTTATTTAAGTAGGTCATTTCAGTGCAGCATTTCTATCAAACATTAACAAACGCACAACCTGTGTGAAGTTTGTCTCACGGTGTGTTGCAGCTAAAGGTCCAGCTGCTGTATTTCACAGGGAGAGAAAAGAAAGAAAGCTAACTTTACTCAGAGATGGAGAAAGATAAGAAAGACTGGACAGGAGAGGAAGAAGAGAGCTTAGATTTAAAGGTGAGGACTGCTCAGTGGTGTTAAACTGTAAATGTGAAGCTTATATGTAAGTCCTCATGTTTTTAAATCAGATATTGGGTCTGTACATGTGACATTAGGGTTTTTTCTTATATTGTGAAACATGCTGAGGCCGACTAACTGTGTTATTTAAAGGTTGTATGAAAATCCTCTGCAGGTTAGTGCAGGATAAACAGGTTAGTTTGCTGTACCGTGAATGTTTCAAAGGCCTTCCCACCTGCTGGATCCCATTTTAGCCTCTTCTCTACTAATATTCCTGTTAGAGGCAAAGTCACTCTCTACAGAGTAGGAAACAAAATAGAGATATTTTTTAAATTCCTTCTTTTTCTCTGTTTATGTTCTTTTTTACTTTTACGTGAGTAAAGAAGTTGAATCAGTACTTCGACTCTTACTGAAGTATTTTTTAACACTCTCTGTACTTCTGCTACTCTATAAAAGTACAGAATATCTGTACTTTTGCCCCCTCTGTCAATAGGAGGCTGTTTCTGTTTTAATGCTGTTTTAGTGTCATCTTGATGCGCCAAAATCACTCTGAAGATGGCAACTGACTGCAAAGCAATTATTTTATTTTTATTATTAACTGTAATTTGTGCTGATAATTATGTAATAATTATGAATTAAGAGCAATAAGATGCTTTTCAGAGTGTAGTGACTTTCGAGTCTCCTAGCATAGTTGTTCCTAACTGTAGCCTGAAGAACGTTCTAATTAGGCGGAATCATTGAAAACACCTGTGTGGGTTGACAGCCCTTCAACGCAAATGATGCGTGTGCATACACCCACACACACACACGGACATGCACAAAATCACTTATTTTGCAGCTCACTTTATTAAAATGATTCTGGGCTGTCTGGCTCTTTGGTGGCTCCAAATAGCAGGAGTCAGCCATTCTTAGAAGTAATGAAGAGATCTAATCTGGGTTAGTCCAACTCTGAACAGTGCTTACTGGCTGCTGTTTTGCAGAGGGAGTTGTGTGTTTTGCTCTCAAGTGTCAATTTGTGGCTTGC